GTAACTGTGAGCTAAATAAACCTTTCCTCCCTTCATTTTGGGTGTCAGGTATTTTTCCCAGCAATGAGAGAAGAGTAACTGAGACACCTATTATGGGTACATGTTTTTAGTCAATTACATAAATGCACATACGAATACCATATGAGTTCTGCAAAGATCAGAAACAATCCAAGCCTAGTAAACATTTGAACAATTGTTCAGATAAGATCGTGTGCATCAGGGTGCTATGACCATAGATTGAACGATTGTTAATGAGGATATTTCTTGTTTACTTTCTTCCTCTTTTTTAAAAATGTATTTAATACATGGTCTACAGGGTCTCATTACACAGATCAGACTCATAGTGATCCTCCTATTTTCAGTTTCCCAAGCTCTGGGATTACATGTGTGCACCACCACACCCAGTCTCAGTCCTAGTCTTAGCATGCCTCACAAGATAGCAAGGCAGCTAGCTTGGCACAACAAGGCAGGGATTGAACCCTGGCCCCCGCATCTGCTTAAGCAGGCACTTCAATCTAATGAGCTACCTTTTTTTTTTCTTGGCACTAGATGCATGAGGGAATCTTTTGGTTTTGTGTTTGTCACTCATACTAAATGTGCCAGTGAATAAACAACATTCGACTGACTTGATGCCACCCTATGTTTCAAAAAAACACATTACTGCCATTAGTTTTATGTTGGACTCTGTGCTCATTAGGGACAGACTAGCTTCAAACAACTATCAACTACTCGGTCATGCATTTGGGCTACCCAAGAGTTAGGGAGATAAACTTCTGCACACAGAGTGAGTGTTTCAGAGCCACGGAACAGAGGATGAGTTGTCAATGTAGATTCACTCCTGACTGCTATGCAGTACACATGGGAGGCAACTTAAAGCAATTAGGATTGCAGATCCGACAGCTTCCCTATGAGCTGCCACATTAGGTTAGGAATGGAGGATTACAGAAGACCAAATGTTTCTGTTTCAACTCCAGAGGATTAATTTTTCTCCTTTTTAAATCTGGCAAAGGAAGATGTCTAATTCTGAAAGCAGAGAGACACTACAGAATTACAACCAACACAGCCCGTGAGGTAACACGAAGGCAACAGTCTGTATATTCCTTATCTGAGACTTGAAAACTAGAAGTGATCAGGTGTCGCTTGATTTCTAACCTAAAGTTTGAGATCCCCAGATCTTTTAAAATATGATGTTCCTACATCCAGAGTCTACATTGCTTTGTCAAGGAGACTAAAGGAAATTGTAAATGGCTTTTAAAATTAATAACATTCTTATTTCTAGCCTTTAAACTCTGTCATAATGTGTCCCAATTTAAAGCTGCATGCAGTTAACTGTGTTACATCCTGTTTGGGCAGTTGGATTTAGAAGAATCACAGTCACACATGTATCTTCTCAGAAGTTAGCTGCTTTAGCAGCTCATATTACTGTTACAGATACAGCTGAATTATTAAAACTGTTAAACTCTTTTGTGAAGCAATGTGGTTGGGTTTCCTTGCTCTCAGTATAAGCAGAATTATAAAAAAAAAGGTGAGCTACTGAGATTGGGTCAATTAAAATACTCTATACACTCTCCTTCTCCTCATCTTTCCAGATAAAGGTGAGTGTGCATGTGGGACAGATCAAAGGTTGACGTTGTCTTGAAGGTGTGCAAACAACACTGAAGGAATCCATATAGACTCTAAGCATAGGGTTATGTAGAGCACCAGAGAAGCTGATGGTGTACAGACAGTGCCACTGAGTAGAAGCCTGGATTTGGGGAAATAACTAGGAGGGTGTGTCCTCATATCAGTAAACTGATGCAAAGCAAGTGCCGGACTCTGGTACTTGGAGAAACTTGAAGTTATTAAGATAATTATTAAGTTGTATATTAGGTCCAGAAAAAAAAAAAAAAAAAAAAAAATAAAACTTTTACTGAAACTGTGAGTAAGGTATGGAAAAATTTTGAGAATGAGTTTATATCAGAAACAGCTTGGGAAAATGGAAAATCAAACAGGCCTAACTTGAAGGAGGACTGAGATTATCTGAAGAATATGTCCTCATGAGACCCTTGCTTTCCAAAACTCTTGAGTGTCTACTTCCATCATTGTGCCCTTCTCCTTGGAATCATTTACTGTAATTATTTCCAGGAAATAGTACATCTTTTTTTTAATTTTATTTATTTATTTATTAGAGAGAGAGAGAGAGAGAGAG